CATATATTTACATATCGATATAAATCATACATCAGTTTCTTGATCGTCATTTGCACGGCATTCTTGTTCGCGATCATGCAATAAATAAAAAAACTTACTCTGTTCCTTTTATATTTCGTGATTTTAGCTATAATATATCACTTCAGTTTTACAAAATCTATTTGTACATGGCTGCTGCTTGACGACTTACCGGATTCTCTGTTTATATGTGTGCATATATGTATTTTTTTCAGTTTGCACAACTCTCGATGCTGCTACAGTTAACGGGGAGAGGATGAGGAAGAGGAGACATAGGAACTAACAGTCGCGTTAGGGGTGGCAGAAGCGGCAGAGGCGGCAGAGGAGGCAGAGGCGGAAGAAGTGGAAGAGGCAGAAGAGGCGGAAGAAGTGGATATATTGTTATATATAATAAATAAAAGTATTTTATTAAGATAGACACATACAGTCGTACACACATTCACACGCACGCACGCACGCACGCACGCACGCACGCACGCACGCACGCACGCACGCACGCACGCACGCACACAGTTTCTTTCGTAAAAAAAAATGGAAAATATATATTAAATTATATAATAATAATTTATTTATTTCTTAGCGTGTCATTTGCATATAACACACGGCCGCGAAACCTCCGAAATGAGTTGTTATTTATCATTGCTAAGAAGTAAACATTTTTTAGACACAGAGCTCATTGTATCTCTTCCCGTGCGCTCATTCGCTTATACATTTTAATTAATTACAGAGTAAATGTTAAGAAAATTACAAGATGGTATAACTTTTTTTATTGTTTTCATCCATTTTATTTGTACACTATGGCTGATTCATGAGTTACCGGAATCTGCCCATACTGAACAAATATCCAAAATATATCCAATGAATATCCTATAGATAACATCATATCTAGAGAATATTCATGACATGCATATTGGATATTTGTTCTATATGGATATATATCAATGAAATTCACAAATTTTACAACGGTTTTTGTTCGAATAACGTATAGTAAGTTTTTTTGCTGAACACAGTCAATGTGAACGAAGCATCTTAAAATAAACTAAAGATGATTTTATATAGAAAAACTATATTAAATAAATAAATGAAAATTGTGCACAGATACATATATACAAATGTTTTTCATTTCATTTCTGTTGCAAGAAATACTAAGTTAGAAAAATGGTCTTTTCACTCTCTTAGATGCATGGGATTATGCGAAGACCATTTCAATGATGCATCATTTTTGACAAGCATGAAGAAACGTTTAAAATTGGATGCAGTTCCAATTCATTTCGAGAGCGAACATGTTAATGAAAATATAGAACAAGTGAAGGAAAGAAGACATATAGAAGTGGAGAAACTCCCTGAAGAAGTAGAAATCGGAGAGAACACCATACCAACTGTTCTTACAAGTCACATATCGGAAATGAATATTAATATAGACGAGCAATCAATAGAACGGTATTCACTTCGAACATATGACATATATAACATAATTAGTCTGCGAATAATCCATAGACCTTTAAGAGAAAAGCTTGTACATCGAAAAGATGTGAGTTCGTCTTTGTCGCCGAATTAAAGTGCCGGATCTCGGACGGTCGCAGTCGAACGTGCTAGCAGAAGAGGGAGACAAGCTTTTCGAGCGAGGATTGTTGTTTTTCACTACTACTTATAATACCTAGACGCGAGTCCATTACAAATTGTGCGAACACACGTTTAATGCATGCCGCATTCAAGAGAACAATTCGTCTGACGAATAACGTCGCACGATGTCTTGTGTGGAGTGTGATCACGAGTCTCTCTCGGTCTTGTCTCTTCTGCCAGAATGTTTTAGAAATAGGCAAATCTCGTCCGAATCTCGAACAACTACACTATCATGAAACAAAGCATCCAGAATATTTAGAGAAGGAAACAACCTAGTCGACACAGAACATTATATTTATGTTAAAATTTCGCACTCAAAAATATAAATGTAATATAACACACATGGTGTCATATTACATTTATATTGTTGAGTGCAAAATTTTAATAAAAATGTAATGTAACTAATGTTCTGTGTCGACTAGAAATTATCACCTACTGTTATTACGAATTACGAATGTAACAAAAGATAATAATTCGGATTATAATTAGAAGATATAATCTTTTACAAAAATATGTATAGAAATGTATATGTACAGAAAAAGAATCATGTGCTGTTGAACAAGGTGTAAATTTGTGCGCGATGCCATGTTTCTCAAACCCGCAATTGTAGGCGGACCTCAGACACGAACTTCCAGTAAATGGGCGTAGAACGGACACGCATCAAATAGAGACTTTACCGGCAGCGTCTGCAGATGCGCGTAGTCACCGTAGTTCCCGGCTACAATAGGCGCAGATGGCGTTAAAATCAGCCATGAAAATTCATATCGGCCAAAACGCCGGCGTGGCCGCTTTCAGACTTCTCTCTGCTTGTATCACTTACTCGTGTACACCTTGTATATAGATTAAATCAAAATAAAAACAAAAATCCTCCACTATTATATAAACAATTATGTAAAAGTTTGTAATTAAATAAAAATTAGTGAATAATTTTACGTAATACAGATTAGCTTATATATAACCTATATATAACCTATATATAGCTTGAATATTAATTAGAAGCTTAATTAAAAGTCATAACAACTACAATTAGTGTGATTTTTATTAATGCAAAAGTTTTCAACATTATATGATCCACACAAAAAAATAATTAAATAATATTTATATTATGAAAGTAATAAGTATACAATTATACAGTTATTAAATTATATTACTGAAATAACAATTATATAATTATATACAGAATACATTTAAAATCTATAATACTTGTGTACTCATGACTAAATTTATTTACCTTAAAGTAAATTATCTTATTTCTTTTTCCTTCTACTGTATATCATATCAGGGTTTTCTTGATAAAGGATTTCATAAACATGTTTCTATTCAGAATAAATTAAGAATAAATGAGAACATCAATACAGGGTGCACGATTTATCTGAAGACATTGAAATATCTCGAGAACTATGCATTGGATAAAAAAAAGTGGTTAATGAAAGTTGTTAGTCTCGAAGGGGGACATCCAATGATACCTAACTCGACCTCCCACCCTACCCCCTGAGGGTGGGGGTTGGGGGCAACTTTGAAATCTTAAATGGAAACCCCCATTTTTTATTGCAGATGCGGATTCTACGCCACAAAATACGTAAATTTTGTCCGAAACTTTTTTTTTTATTCGTGATAGATGGCGCTGTAATTGCAAAAAATTATATTTGCCCGCAATTCTCCAGAAATGATCATTGGATTGAGAAATAAAAAATACCTGTTCAATATTTTGAAAGAACATAATAAAAGTTATTCCCCCCCATCCTCTCGGGGTAGGGTGGGTGATAACGTTCAAATTTCAAATGGGGACCCACATTTTTCATTGCAGTATTAGATTTTACGTGAAATTTTTATTGAAACAATTTTTTTTCATTCGTGATAGATAGCATTGCACTGCCTTTTATAATAAGCCGTAGTTCGCCATACACCCACAGTGGCGCGTCGAGCAGTTCCCTCTTCGATTCGGGTTCCCATTTGAGATTTGAACGTTATCACCCACCCTACCCCGAGAGGATGGGGGAGGGGAATAACTTTTATTATGTTCTTTAAAAATATTGAACAGGTATTTTTTATTTCTCAATCCAATGATCATTTCTGGAGAATTGCGGGCAAATATAATTTTTTGCGATTACAGCGCCATCTATCACGAATAAAAAAAAAAGTTTCGGACAAAATTTACGTATTTTGTGGCGTAGAATCTGCATCTGCAATAAAAAATGGGGGTTTCCATTTAAGATTTCAAAGTTACCCCCAACCCTCACCCCCAGGGGGTGGGGTGGTAGGTCGAGTTTGGTATCATTGGATGTCCCCCTTCGAGATTAACAATTTTCATTAACCACTTTTTTTTATCCAATGCATAGTTCTCGAGATATTTCAATGTCTTCAGATAAATCGTGCACCCTGTATACAGGATATTCAAACAGATATATATATCTGTTAAGGCTCGTCTATAATAGCTGTAAGAGTAAGGCTGTAAGGCTGTAACGTAAGCTGTCAGCGAATGAAAATATTTCATTTCGTGTCTTGCAACCTTACAGCCTTACTCTTACAGCTAATGTAGACCAGCCTTAATGTTCATGTATTAATACTAATATGGTGAATACTATTAACAAAGAATAAAGTAACTCTTTTTCGTTATTTTTTAAATCGTTCTTGTAATATTAACAAAAAATAAAATACCTCCTTTTCGTTATTTTTTAAATCGTTCTTGTAATATTAACAAAAAGTAAAGTAACTTTTTTTCGTTATTCTTTAAATTGTTCTTGTGATTTTAACGTTGTATAAAAAATCCTGCAAATAAATTATGATATAGGAATATAAACATTATTAAGATTTATTTGGGACTAATGCAGGATAATTGCGGACTATATATAACGCAAAAAATTACATTTTTATATAAATATTATATTACATGCATTCAATAATATACATAAAACACTTGAACTAGGAATCAAAACCAAATATAATTTCGTTTAACTTAAGAAACTTGAGTCGATATATGTAAAAAATCTCTATTTCTATTTTTGACAACGGATGCACAACGGAAGCGTAAAATTTACGCAAGATAATGTTACAAAAAGTAAGAGTTTTTCCTGTAACGGAAAGTTTACAAATTGAATTCTCCGTATATTATTGACTTCCTTACTTACTACGAAATTACTTACTTTGTGCGTCGAATCTTACGTTGATAATTTATTGACAGGCGCTATTTAGTTCTACTATGAATGACTGTGAAAATGGTCATTTCCTTCGAAAACATGCGAGCTAATTATATAGCTTGGAACAAGAAATGAAAAAAAGGCTTACGTGAGATGATCTCACAATCCACCACCACTTCTATCATGGAACTGTTTGCGACATGGTGGGGACCAGGAAAATTGATAGCAAATGGATGTAAGCGAGCGGACAAGTCAGACGAGGTATATCTTCTGCCGCGGAGAGTCCTTGGAACTAGAAACCTGCTACCAAGGCTGTTATCAAGAATGTCAACTGGCGTGGCGACCCTTTTACTGACGCTACTGACGTTACTATCGTTAATCCTGTCACCGATACATGGAAAGGATATTGGAGGTAAGTAATCATACATATATATATATATATATTTCTCTCTCTCTCTCTCTCTCTCTCTCTCTCTCTGCTTCTCTCCTCTCTTTTCCTTCTTCCTCAGTAAAGGTACATTTTCTTTCAGTGAATAAAACGATCATGATTTCTTTTGCTTTTCGTTTTTTGTGTTTTTAGCAGATTAAAATTTAGCTAAAAGGATTTAGCATATTAAAGATCTGCTTTTTATTAGCCTTTAGATTAGGCTTTAGATTAGCCAAAATTAATATTCCATAATAAAAAGAATCTCGTTGAATAATTGTACTTCTATGTACAAAAGATGTATTTAATAATTGTTATTCTAAAATTGTTGTTGCAAAAAATAGTAATTCCGTTTCTCGTGATTAGATGATAATAATATCTGTTTTTAGTTTAATGCGATATGTTTGCTTTCCTATATATTATTATCGTATATATTTATTGAAAGTATCTTCAGAGTGACGAGATTATATTACATTATAATATATTTTAGTTTTTAATATATATAATATATTAGAAACAATTGTAGTTTAATAATTTATATCAGTTCAATAATTTAAATTAAACGTCTCGTTTTAGATGTGAAGAAGTTAGAAAATTAGAAATTAGAAATTAGAAAATTAGAAGAAAGAAGAAATTATCAATGATGATTTGTCAAAGATATCAGTGCAACTATTTTATTCTTTACTTCCTTATTTTCTGCAGTATGCTTCATCGAACAAATTATTCACTTATATTGTAATTATTAAGAATCGCAAGAAGATTATGATGCGTGTATTTTCTTAGAAGAGAAATCGATATTTTCAAACGCACTAAAACGTGATATCTGTTAACAGAATGAAGAATTCAATATCTATCTTTAATCTATGCTTAAAATTATACCGGAGCAGCTACCACATTTTAAACGAAATTAAAAGTATCGAAAACGGACGTTATTAAAAATATGTGCTTTATCAATGTCGAGCAAATATGTGATACTGTTTCAAGCATATGCGTACATTTATTTATAGCAATGCTCAGAGTCTATCATTTTCAACGCGATTTTTAAAAGCTACGCCTACTTTTTCCCACTTGTCGCACTAATTGAAGCGTACTAACTACGTTAGTATCTGCAACAGTCTCTGCATCAAGACCGTCAATTCTACACTAGTAGAATTGACTAGAGACTAGAAGAAATGATGTGTCAAATTTAACATATTTTATGTGTATCAAATCACCCACTTTCATTTATGTGTTAATTTAACATACAGCAAATATGTTTAAAAGTAATACGCATAATATGTAAAAAATTAAGACAAAAATTTAACATTTGAATGCTATCAAGAATCGCAGTTTGTGTTAAATTGACATACAATAAATGTTACTTCAACATTTGGGAAAAGTAATGATTTATGTTTTGATAAAATGAAAATATTAGATTGACATAATCTATGTGTTACAAACCCAATCTTTATGTAATATAACACATAATAACTGTTATAATGAGGAAAGTAACACATTTTAAATGTTCACTTTAACATATAAAATATGTCAGAGTAAGAATTCATGCATTTATATATAAATTGCGTTATTTTAACACTTGAAAATGTTATTTTAGCACATAAAAGTAATTAATCTTAATTTAACACAAGAAAGTCTAAGTAACACAACAACGATATGTTAAATTAACACTGTGTAAAACGACTGTATAGAAAATTTAACACAAAACCTCCTACACACAAAAAATTTTAACAAAAGTACGAAACATTTTTAACTATCTAATAAAGTTAATTGTTTTGAATCCAAGTGTCGCGACAGTCAATCGCATGATTCGATAATAGGTGAATGAGAGAGGCAAGAAGAATAAAAGCGTAACACTCAGAAATCGTTTGGAAAATGCATGTAATTTGAAAATTGCTATAGATAAGTACGCATATTTGCGTAAATCGGAATGAATCTAGCATAATAAGGCTTGCGCAAATTTATAAGCAGTTTTTAAAAAATTTCGTGTGATGAAGATTATATATAATTTTGTTATTTTTCCTTTTCCGATAAGAATATAAAGATAACATCAGTAAATTTTTTTTTAATATCTAATAACGTCTCTGACCTTGACATATGCGATTAACAAAGTGTAACAAAGTTTAATATAAATTATGAAATAATATAATATAGAGAAATATATTGAATATAAAATCAGATAATATGCCCTACATTGACAACATGCTCCACCAAACGTTATTGTGAAACATTATTTTGTTACAATTGATAAAAACCAATTAAAATTAAAATATTTTTAGTTAAATAAATTATAATTTTAATAACGACATATATAAAAATAAATACTTTATTGAACTTAAAGACATTGTAGGGCATGTTATATAATTTTACCTTATATCTCTAAATATTGTGTTTCTCTATAATATATTGGGTGAGTGCAAAAGTTCGTGCGGAGTTTGTGAGTAAAAGTCACACAGTGATTAGGCAAACAAAAATCTTTATTCAATCAATGATATATTCTCCATCGTTTTCTATAATCTTTTCCCAACGTTCTGGCAGCATACGGATGCCTCGATCATAAAAACTGTGCGGTTTAGATTCGAAGAACGAAGAGACGCCGTTTTTTAAGGCCTCCAAAGAGTCAAAGTTTTTTCCATTTAAATAATTTTGCAATGACCGGAACAAGTGATAGTCAGATGGTGCGATATCAGGAGAATACGGTGGATGCATTAAGACATCCCATTTCAGGCTCTTCAGTTTGCGCAGCGTCTTTTTCGAAACGTGTGGTCTGGCGTTGTCGTGATGAAAGACGACTCCCTTGCGATTTGACAAAATCGGACGTTTCTCTTTTATTTCTCGATTCAGATTGGTTAATTGGCGACAGTACTTGTCCGAATCAATCGTTTCGCCAGCGGGGAGAAGCTCGAAATAGATTATGCCCTTGCAATCCCACCAAACAGAGAGCATCACCTTCATCGGGTGCAAACTGGCCTTTGGCATTGCGTCACCATGCTCACCTGATTGTTTCCATGTCCGTTTGCGCTGAACATTGTTGTAGAGGACCCATTTCTCATCGCCCATCACTAGTCGATCCAAAAACGACTCGTTATTGAGCCGCCCGAGTAAAGAAACGGCTGCAGAAATTCGCTTGATTTTGTTCTTCTCGGTCAGCAAATGGGGCACCCATATATCGAGCTTCAAATCGAATCCCATCTTTTTTAAACGACGAAAAGCGGTTGATCGGTCAACGTTTAGTGCTGTAGCAACTTCTTCTGTTGAAATTCGCGGATTATTGAGCACTAAAGTACGCAAAACATCGTCATCAATGTCAGAAGGTCGACCAGAGCGTGGCTCGTCTTCAAGGTTAAATTCTCCGCGCCGAAATTTAGCAAACCATTTTTCCACAGTTCGTTTAGCTGGTGCTTCATCCTGATAAACATCCTGAATGTTTTTTACGGCTGCGGCAACGTTTATTCCCTTCCGAAACTCGTAAAGCATAACATGCCGTAAATGCACCTTATCGATACTCATTTTTAAAGTGATATTTCTCGAAGCAGTTTGTATGAAAACAAATGATTTTTTTTTTAATAACAGCTGAAGACGTCACCTTTCCAACGTTATATAATATGTAGATGGAAGTATTAATGACAACACTTTACGACGCTTATAACTCCATCTATTGAAACTCCGCACGAACTTTTGCACTCACCCAATACAATAGTACTCCATAATTTAAGTTAAACTTTGTTGCATTTTGTAAATAATATGCTGTATTTATATACGCGCGCTTGCGCCTGCAGAAATAAAAGAATGTCAGTCTTTTTTAATTTATGCATTGCAGTTATATTAATACATCTTAATCTTGTATCGAGTTATTAATATTGTACTAAACGTAGACCTCAGATATATTTAATTCTGGAAATATAGCTGAGAAACTTAAAAAACTTTTGCACAAATTTCGACGCCACACACATGTTACTTTTGTTATACATACATATTCATCTACCATATATTCACTTCTTTATATTATGTATTATATTACATATTATGTAATTGGAATTAATTCGTTTTCATGTAATAATGTGAGAAAATATGTACCAAAGACAATCATTGAGTACAATGCAACTGTTACGTCCTGAAGGAGGAACGTAACTTGACTTGCTTTCACAAGTTCCGACGTACTCGCAAGTCTGCAGTGCAGAATCGGAATGACCCCTTTATCTGGCGCGGACGTACGTCGCTGGTCCTTTATTTAAGTCAAGGAACTGAATCCTTTTACCTGGGATAGGACCGTGAGCGACAGTGGAGGGAAGGGAGAATTTTTGTTGAGAATAATTAGTTCGAAAACGTGATTAGCTTATAATTACAAATAACTTATTTTATTGATGATTAGGCGGAAGATCATAATGAAATAGAATTTGTAAGATTTTATAATGTGTACGTATATATATATATATATATATACATATATATATATGTATACATACGTATATACGTATATACGTATATACGTGTATATATATATATATATATATATACATATGTGTGTATAAACAATCGCGGTCTGAGCAAAATTTCGTGTTCATTATGTTCGACTGTGAACGAAAAGATTGGGCCACTGAAACCGGATTTCACAATTAAGGAGGAACGCCAAGGGGGATAGAAAAAAGGAAAGGAAAAGAAAAAAAAGAGAAAAAACGGGTAAAAGTGGGGTTTAGGGAACCTTAGGGGAGCTTTTTCTTTATAGCTTTTTCCTTATAGTTGGTTCGCTCCTCGTCGTTCGCACTCGCTCGCTCTTCGTCGCACTCGCTCGCCTCTTGTCGTTTGCGCTCGCTCGCTCCTCGTCGTTCGCGCTCGCTCGCTCTTTGTCGTTCGCGCTCGCTCGCTCCTCGTCGCGCGCGATCGCCTCTTGTCGCTTACGTTGCCCCTCGCCGCGCGCGCTCGCCTATCGACACTCGCTGACTCCGCCTGTATCAAATGTCTATGTGCTTACTGCGGTCGCCCTCCGCTCT